GCTGGGGCTCAGGCGCCGGCTCAGCCCTTCCGTCCACACTCCCGGAGGCCCACCCTTGCCCACTCAGGTTTCCTTTAAGATTTTCTCTCCTCTCCGGTCATTGCTCCCCACGGGACTGTTGCTCGGTTTCACCTCTGCTCTGTCGGCTGGTTAATTTCCCCTCAGACAGGGCACATAGGTGGCAGACCTCCAGTTCTCGCGTTCACCCAAGTATCCCTCCTTGGTTCTCACCAGCGAATGACACCTCGGCTGCTGTGGCTGTTTTCTGTGTCTTCTGGTTCCCTGTTGCAGCTGAAGCTCAGGACAGGGTCGGGTTCCTGTCCTTTGTCAGAAACTCGTTCTCTGCCTGTCTAGTGGGCCCCGCCCCACGGGCTCGGGCCTGCCTTCGGCGAGGAACGTTTTCTTGCACTTGTCTAACTATTGCATCTCCTTTACTTGTTCTCTGCGCTCTGGAGCTCCTGCCTCTCGTGTGACAGCCGTGCGTTGCTCCTGTCGCTCTCTCACCCTCTCCTCGTGACTTCCCTGCTTACGTTGTCCCTCGGTGTTGGGGATATTGCTTGGGCTTCACTTCCAGCTGCCAGTTTGGGTTTCAAGAGTGAGTTTTCCCTCCTTTCACCTGCTTAGTGGTATTAGAAGGGAATTTAATTTTTTCTCTGAAAAGTTTCTCTCTCTCTCTCTCTCTGTTTTGTTTTATTTTGATTTGTTTGGTGTTCTACCTGAATCCTTGGAACTTTGTTGACTTTTCCTTCTGGGTCCCCAGCAGAGCCTAGGGGTTCACTTGCACTCAGGTCCCACAGTCCTCAGCAGTTGTTGGTTCAGGGCTGGATTGGGGCTTGGGATATTTCCAGGTTCCCAGCACCCCATGGCCCCCCTCGCTGCTGAGGTCGGGCTGTGTCCCTGGCCCTGGACTTGCATGTAGCCATTGTCCCCCCTACGTTTACTCTGCACTCATCGAGCTGTTGGTCGAGCCCCGATGTGCTAGGCTGTGCATTGTTCCACTTAATGCCACACAACCCCGTGGGGCACGGGTCACCTGTGCTCTATGTTCAAGTGAGGAATCTCCAGACTATGTGACATGTGCAAGGTCATGCCCCTAGGACAAGGGTGATGACAACTTGGGTCTATATCTGCTTATTCCTCAGCCCCACGTCACTTTGTCACTGCGCTCAGGTGAGTGCAACAGCTAAGCCCGAAGGAAACTCACACTTTCTTCTCTGTCCCCTCACCGGCCTCGGGAAGGGTCGTTGAGGGACGGGTCCTCGTCATCCTGTGTTGTCTGTGCCCTGTTCAGGGCCTGGCACCAGCAGTCTGCACACGTTTGTTTAACAAATAGTATTAACCAGGACTAGAGAAGACGTTCTGTTTACCAGGGAGCCCTCCTCAGGGCACGACACGGATAAATCCAAATACCCGAGGCAGCCGCACGTCATTCTCACCAACTCTCAACTCCATTGTCATTCATAGGTTAATTTAATTCCTGATTTTCCCCTTGCCTGAAGATGTATTTTTTTTTATTGAAATAAGTTTTTTCATTGTGAAGACTATATGCTGATTAAGCTCAATCTGGAAAATGCAGAAAGCTGAGAAGAAGCAGCCCCAGTCTCTCATGGTTTCCCCACCCGACGCTGTGACTCTAGACGTGACGTGTTTCCACACTGACTGCAGAATCCACAGTAAATTTCTACATTGACTGTAGCCTTTACCAGAGAGCCGGTCTGAAGCCACTGTCCAGAGCAGATGTGAGCACATGGCGGCTGTTGCTGGGAATTGCTGTCCTCGGGGACCTACGCTCCTGCCTCCAGAGATCCAGGGCCCAGAAGGCCCCAGAGGCCCGGGGTGTTCTGGTGAAATGTTGGCCTGGTTGTCCCTGTTTCCTGAGTGGGCTGAGGAGGCTGGCAAGTCTCTGTCCATGGTGCTGCTGGGCTGCTGCCCTGCGGTGTGAGTGGAAGTGCCCAGCCCTCCTCCAGGGCCTGAGGAGCCAGAGTCCCAGGGCTTCAGCCCCCCTGGCATCCCTCAGAGTGCGTGTTTGCAGCTAGGAGTTGGTGGGGCTTTAAGGACCACATGGGGAGAGTGTGATTTTGTGCAAATATGGCTGTTGGTGCAATTTTGTGGTTGCACCTGTGACAGGTGAGGCTGTGTGCGGCTGTGTGGGTGTCGTGTAGGCACAGGGACAGTTGTGAAAGTCAGCATCTGTGAGGCCTTTCTCTCTGCGGGGCTGACTGGCTCTCACCTGCATGTCCAGTGAGCCAGCTGGGGACAGTCATGGAGTCTCCCTGGGAGAATTGGCTGCTTATCTCACTGGCCACGTGTATGTGCACATATGGTTTACGTGAGTCACATGTCCTCTTTACCCTTCTTCCAGAGTGGCCCTGTGTGTGTCCATAGGTGTGTGCTGGTATGCGTGCAGAGGAGCATGTCTGTGCAAGCATCTGGCTGGGTCTTCAAGAGTGAGCATGACCAGGGCTGATGTATGCTGCTGAGCTTTTGTGTATGTAATGCTGATGTTTCTGAGTGACTGTGTCAGTGTGTGGGATCACTCTGCAGGTCTGCGTGGCTCTGCATGCGTGTCTCCCTCCAGTCCTTCCTCCCTGCCCCCCTCTGTGTGTCTGCACACGGCTCTGGGTGTGCGATGCTGATGTTTCTAAGTGACTGTGTCAGTGTGTGGGATCACTCTGCAGGTCTGCGTGGCTCTGCATGCGAGTCTCCCTCCAGTCCTTCCTCCCTGCCCCCCTCTGTGTGTCTGCACACGGCTCTGGGTGTGCATTGCATGCGTGCCTTCCTCCCTGCCCCCCTCTGTGTGTCTGCACACGGCTCTGGGTGTGCACTGCACGCGTGCCTCCCTCCCTGCCCCATCGGCAGGTGTGTGCACGGCTCTGGGTGTGCACAGCACACGTGCCTCCCTCCCTGCCTCACCTGCTGTCACTTGGGAGATAGTGAGTGTGCCTGACGGTGGCACTGGTAGTTCTCAGCCTTCAGCAGGGCTGGCCAAGAGGTTTCGCTGTGTGATCCAGCTCAGACTAATTGGCAGGGCTGCCTGAGTGGTGTCTAGACATGGACTGTGAGTCTATGTCCTTGCTTAGTGGAAAGGAGGGCTGTGATGCAGTGTCATCCATGGGTGTGGGTGGGTGTGGTGTCCACAGTGCCATAAATTTGCTAGTAGGCCCTGTGACATCATCCACTGGCTGTCCTTGCTTAGTGGAAAGGAGGGCTGTGATGCAGTGTCATCCATGGGTGTGGTGTCCACAGTGCCATAAATTTGCTAGTAGGCCCTGTGACATCATCCACTGGCTGACAGATGCTCTTCTCTGGACCCCCCTGTTGGGCCCTGGGGCTGTGTTTGGCAGCGTCTCCCTGTCTGTCTGATGCAGCTGCTCAGCTTGAAGACCAGTCCCTCCAAAGGCCTCAGGGACCTGTCTTCATCCCAGTGAATCCAAGAGGACAGCAGCCTGATGATGATGTTAGTGTGCCACTGAGAGCCTGGGTGTGCACATGCATGCCTATGTGTGCAAACATACAAAAAGTGCACATGACATACATGCTCACACACACTCCACATCCCCCCTACACATGGGCCTCATGCCCAAGCCCAGAGGTTCAAAGCCCACTGAGAGACCCATGGTGGGGGCACAGCTGTGCCCTCTCTCCAAGGACACACTCAGAGAGGGACACACATGCCCAGTCCCTTATCATACAACCTAGAGAAACTCTTACACAGGCACAGGTGTGCAGTCCTGCAGAGAGACACGGGGGTGTCTCATAGACATGGATGCGGCCTGGTCCTGTGCAGATACATGCACACCTGGAACCTCCACGCTCCCATGAAGACCTCTCACTCATTCGTCAAGCATTTGTGGCCCCTCTCAGTGTGAGGGGCTCAGTGCTGAAGAAGACAGAGCAGCTCCTGTCTTCACGGAGTTTATCACCTGGTCTGGGAGCTGGGCAGAGCAGATCAATAAACACAGTGACAGATGGTGATGAGGTTATGATTATTGTTGGGGGGTGGGCTGAGGACCCCATTTTAAGTGAAGTGCCCCTAGCAGGGTGCTCTGTGGAAGTGACAGTGAAGCCAAGGCCTGAAGCTGAGACGGAGCCGGCCTGGAGAGGAGCCTGAGGGGACACTTCCTGCCCAGCTGAAGGGACACTTCCCACCCAGGAGACCATGTGAAGGGCCGTGCAGGGCAGAAGCGGTGTGTGCATGGAGGCCAGAGAAGGCACTTGGTCTGGGTGGTGTGTGGGGAGAGAAGCAGGGTCAGGTCAGTGCCGAGCTGGCACTTTCCAGAGACTGAGTGGTGTGGGCTTAGTAGCAGGACAGCGGGCACGGAGTGCGCACAGGTGAGCGAGCTGGGCCGCGTTCCAGGGAAACGGCTTCACAGCCTGGTAGCAACGGTTGCTGACCCTGTGTCAGCAAGGGAGGGTGGGTGGATGCTGCGGGACTCCCCAGGTCACCCTGAGGAGGTGGCATTGGGGAGGCACTGACTTGGTCAGACTTATGTCTTTGGGACAAAGCTCGGAGTGGCTTGGGAGCATCAAGACTGTGCTCCTGGAAGGTGGCTGGGGTGCTGGGGACCAGAGACAGTGAGGATGGGTCATCCATTTCCAGTCCAGCACCCCCATCTGGCACCCAGTCACCATGGAGACCACTAAGGCCTTTGGTTCCCTCATCCATGACATGGAGGTGGAGCCAGAACCCACTTCAGGGGGTTGCAGGGGTCATGGGCACAGTTGCCTGTGACTGGCTGTGCTGCGGGCAAGTGTCCCTGAAGGTGTGTCCAGGGTGGGGGGGTGCATCCGTGGGGGAGTGTCCGAGGGTGGGGTGGGCTTGTGTCCTGGAGGCCCTCTGCTCCCTGCGCCCTCAGAAAGCCCCCTGTCCCCCCAGGATCCCCCTTTGCCCGCGCCAGCCTCAAGAGTGGGAAGGCAGAGAGCTCGTCATACTTCCGGAGGAAGGAGAAGCTGTTCCGGTTCTTCGTCCGGCGCATGGTGAAGGCTCAGAGCTTCTACTGGGTGGTGCTGTGCGTGGTGGCCCTGAACACACTGTGCGTGGCCATGGTGCACCACAACCAGCCGCAGCGGCTCACCACGGCGCTGTGTACGTACCGCCAGCCCAGGCCTCCCCACCCTGCTCCACCGCCTCTGCTCTGCAGCCTGGAAACCCTGGCCCGTGCCCCTTTCTGCCTTGGGACACCCTGGGTGGGACCCCATGCTTCCCAAAGTGCCCACAGACCTGATCAGTCCCCGTGGGGCTCTTCTGGGGGCCTGGGCTGTGTCCAGGGCCTGAGGGTGGCCCAGGCCCTGTGGACCTGGGCCTGGGTTCAGGAGGCCCAGCTGACCCAGGTAGATCCGTATCTGTCAGTGTAGCATGAAGTGAGTATCAGTCCCCGTGGGGCTCTTCTGGGGGCCTGGGCTGTGTCCAGGGCCTGAGGGTGGCCCAGGCCCTGTGGACCTGGGCCCGGGTTCAGGAGGCCCAGCTGACCCAGGTAGATCCGTATCTGTCAGTGTAGCATGAAGTGAGTTGAGGGGTCCTGGGAGCTCAGGGGAGGAAGTGTGTGGGATGACAGGAGCAGGCCAGCCCAGACAGACCCCTGTCCTCCCTGTGAGGACCTCAGACCCACAGACCAGGGGACTTAGCTCCATGCCTCTTTCTGCCACGAGGGCTGCTGCTCCTGCCCTGGATTCCTGAAGAGAAAGAGCCTTGGTTTCTAGCACTCTCCCAGGGCTTTCCTGGTCACTTTTGTTTTTCTTTACAATTGGTTGCATCTGGGGTGTGTCCAGGACCATCCGTGACCACAGCCGACCTGCAATCCTTCGTCCGTGAGCCTCGGGACAGGTCACAGGGATCTGAGTAGTGACTTGTCTTGGCCCTGTCTACAGTTCAGCGGAGGCAAAGAGGAAGATAACCGGGTGGCTGGGGCTTCACCAGGGACTGTCCTTCATGTCCTAGGACTCTGCGGGTCATGTGGAACGTACGGTCTTGGTCTGTCATCGGACCTCACAAAGAGGATTAAAAACAAAGAATCCACGAATGTTTCCTGTCCCGCATAAGTGCTTTGGCTTTCGCACTCCCCAGGGGTCAGCTGCACTCACCCTGCTTGGTGTCTGCAGCTGATCTGGGGCACAGGGTCTGCTTTGGGCTCGCATGAGGGCCCTGTGTGGCAAGAGCCACCCAAGGCACCCGGGAGAGCCTTCTCTGACTCCAGAGAAGAACCTGCCTGGCTCCCAGTCCTGGCCGGCTCTCAGCGTGTTTTGCTGCGATAGTGGCCTCACCAGGGCCCCAGTGGGCTGGCCACGCTCCCCTTCTGTGCACCTCTGAGCTTGCTCAGCTCCTGAAGTGTGTTTGTGCACTGCAGACTGACAGCTCCACAGCAGGAGGGACAGGGCCACACATTACCTGAAAACATAGGGGCAGGAGGCTGTCCCCTGATGGGATTCTAGGCTGCAGTGTCCCAACTTTTTATACTGAAATCTGTTACTCGCATAACTAGGGAAGGGTGAAGAGGCAGCAGGAGCAGGAGCCAGGGAGCTTCCAGCAGCAGACAGCCTGGCTCAGGTCCCCGGGAGCACACGGGAGGAGCAGTCCCTGTGCCTCGAACTGCCTGCTCCGGCCCCTGATCTGTGTGTCCTGGGCCAGCAGTTTGGTATCTTGGGACTGTGCTCGAGACTAAGTCCGGTGTCTCCCTTGAGTCCTCAGGCTACAGATTCCCCACCCTTGGGGGTTGGGTGGTGTCCGGTTCAAAGTGGCGGTGGGGAGTAACAAGGGGAGCCTGGCAGTGGGTCCGAGGCGGGCTTTAATGGGGGCCTCCCGGGCGAGGTTCCGCGGCCTGCAAGGGAGTGAGGCCGGGGAAGGCGCGCCCAGGGTGGACACAAGCGGGTATTTGCAGGGGAGGCTGCTGGTGGGTTTTCTGCCCATATATGGTGCGGAATTGAGCGGGGCTCGGTTTCCGGTTCCCGCCTGTCGGGGGTGACGTGGCCCTGGGCCGTTACCCTACGGCGGGGCGGGAAATTCCGGGGAGGGTGGCGGGGCGGGGAGTCACACGATGGAGGCTCCGTCGCCACTTGGTTGCCGCTTTCTGGTCCTCCCGATCCCGCTGGCCCAACATTCCGACCTGTTTTGTTGTACGGCAGCGACTCAGATCTGGCTGCTTCCTGCTGAATGCGGGGCGTCGTGGGGGCTGTCGGAAGTGGGGGCGGGAGGAGGCGTGGAGCAGGAGCGGGGTGACGGTGACGGAGACACCTCTCGAGTTCATTCGTGAATGAAGCGAAGGAGACACGGCCGCGGTTAGCAGGAGCCCGAGGATCAGGAGGGGGCGTAGTAGGGGGGAGCCGTGTGGTTAGTGGCTTTGCCACCACCGATGTGAGGTGGGGTCTCCCGGGCAGTACCGGGTCTGAAGGGACCCACGGACTTTGGCGAGTGTGGAGGTTGGCTTCGACCACACCTGTTCCACTGATGTAGCGACAGCATTCCTTGTTGAGGAACGTGCAGGCGCCGCCGCTGTCTGCAGTGAGGGGTCCAGGGCACGTCGGTTCTGGAGGGCTACCTGGGCTGCTGAGGTGATGTGGCGCTGCAGGGAGGCCAGAGACTCCGCTGAGGCCTCGATAGCCACCCGGAGCCTTTCGGAAAGGTCTCTGGTGGAGTCTACAGAGTAAATAAGTGTCCCTGTGCCCAGCCCCGTGGCCACCAGGGAGGAGGTCAGGGAGACCCCCAGGACTAGGGGGAGAAAAGCCTCACGTTTTTGTTTTTCTGGGGGATTAACTGGAGCAATAACTTTGGCCTGGCTATAAACGGTAAGCTGGGGACCAATGAAAGAGGCAGGCAGAGGAGGGAGGCAGAGGCGTTGAGACCCTTGGAGAGGGTGCCATTGCACCAAAAGAAACCTCCAACGGGGGCGCGTGGGCTGGTGGCATCTGGTTGGGTTGTACTGCAAAGAGAGGAATTGGGGAAGAGTAGCAGAAGGGCAGTGTCGGAGCTTGGGGGTGAGTAAACAAGGGAATGTTTTGGAGAAAGGGCGAAAACCCCTGAGGAGTTGGAGTGGGGGTGGATAGATTAAGTGGGCCAGGAAGGGGGACAGCCACCAACGGGGATTTACCTAAGGCAGCACACAGAAAGAAGTGAGGCAAGTTACCCATGCCAGAGAGGCTGGTGACGGTGGTGCCCTGCTGAGCGAGCTGTACCCAGGAGAAGGCTCATTCATGACCCAGATGGGAGCCGGTCTGCAGGTGTTCTTGGAGGAGCTGCTCCCGTGCCTGGATAACACTAGTCTGGTCACTGAGAACAGGAGAGACCTGAGGGATGGCCCGTGTGTGGGCCCTGTACATGTTAAGGGAGGCGGCGGGTAAGACTGGAAGGGCCAGCGGTACAGTTTGGCATCGACTGCAGTGGCCCAGCAGTCATCCCAGGGGTCTGGAATAGTTAAGTAGTAAGCGGTTTTCCATTAGAGGTGAGGTGGCATTGGGCCCGTTGGTCCCTGCACTATCCAGCTGGGCGGTGTGCAGTGTGCAGTAATGATAAGGGCAACCGACGTTAGTTGAACCCAGTAAGTGCGGCAGTTGTAATGTGTCTGGTCATAAACAAAACAGATAGTGGGGTATGAGCCTCCCCGCAGGACAGAGTTAAAAGCGGGGACAGAGAAAGTAACTGAGGCCTGGCATCCCTGCGGTTGGCAATCGGTGGTAGGAGTAAGTCTGGCATGGGTTTGATGATCGGTTGTCCAGGTTTCTGTTAACTAAAATCCCCATCCGTACCCTGAACCAGCAGCGGTGGGGCTAAGAGACAGAGTCAGGAGAATGGTGACGTGAGAGCCGAGCCCAGGTAGGCCCCAAGGGCTGTGCCATCCATTCATCTCAGGAGGGGACTTTGGGGGCACACTTAAGTTTGGAGAGGTGTACCCAGGGACAGTGTCCCAGGAGTTCTGCGGCTGTGGGCATGGTTAGAACTACTGTGTAGGGACCAGGCCACCTGGGCTGTATGGTTTTTGGATGTGGTTCTTTCAGTTAGATGCTGTCCCCTGGGGTTAAAGCCTGGGGAGTATCCGCGGTGGGGTCCTCGGGGGTGGGGGTAACTGAGTCAGCGTGGGCCCAGAAAAGGGCCCTTAAAATGGTTAGGTAGGGTAGGTAGGATAAAAGGGGCAGGGGTGAGGCTGGAAAGTTGTGGGTCAGCAGGAAGGGCCATCTGTAGAGGAGCTCAAAAGGGCTGAGGCCTGACAGTCCCCTGGGGTGGCCCTAAGCCTTGTAAGTGCCAACGGGAGGAGGGTTGGCCAGGATAAGCGGGTCTCGAGGGAAAGTTTAGTAAGATGTTCCTTGAGGAGGCCATTGGTTCTCTCAGCCTTACCCAAGAACTGGGGATGGAAAGGGATGTGGAGTTTCCAGGTGACGTTCAGACTTTCGGGGAGACCTGCTGGGTGACACTGGAAGTGAAGTCTGGGCCATTGTCAGATTGTAGGGTCCATGGGAGGAAAAACCTTGGGATGATATGTTCAATAAATACAGTGGCCACCACATCTGCTGTTTCTCGAGCTGTGGGGTGAGCCTCAATCCATCCTGTAAAGGTGTCCACCAAAGTTAGTAAGTAACGATAGGTTTTGTGACGTGGCATGTGGGTGAAATCAAGCTGCCAGTCCTCCCCTGGTTGATGGCCTCAGAGCTGATGGTTAGGTCCTACCCTGCAAATTCCCCCTTGAGAGTTAACAACAGAACAGGTATTGCAAGACTGATGAACCTCCTCAGTGAGCTTTCGGAGGTGTGGGTTATGGAAAAGGGGTTCTGCGAACTGATGTAAAGCTTTTGGGTCAATGTGGAGGGACTGGTGGACATCTGTAATGATGCTGTGGGCCCGGTGGCCCGGGAGGGTGACCTTATTTTGGATAAAAGCCCAACCCTTGTCCCCGATAATTCCCCCCAACGTTTGAGGGTCTGAGTTTCTTCTTCGGTATATGACGGGGAATGGGGTGTGTTGAGGAAAAGGAGAGGAGCTGGGCGGAGCCTAGAGCCATAGCCTGGGCTGTGGAATCAGCTTTGTCGTGGCCTTTAGATATAGGTTCTTTAGAGGACTGGTGACCGTGGCAGTGAATGATAGCCACCTCAGTTGGGAGGCTAAGGGCCTCGAGTAGCTTTGAGATGAGGGGCCCATTGATTATTGGGGTCCCTTTAGTAGGGAGGACACCTCATTCTTGCCAGAGGACAGAGTGAGTGTGGGTGGTGGGGAAAGCATATCTGGAATCTGTGTACATAGTTGCCCATTGTCCCTTGGACAGGTGGAGGGCCCGAGTGAGGGCTATCAGCTCCGCCTTTTGAGAAGTTGTTCCGAGGGGAAGGGGTACAGCCTCTAAGGTGGCATCTAGAGTAACGACAGCATGGGCTGCATGCCTTTGGCCATCCGGGGCAATGAAAGAGCTACCATCTCTGAAAAGCACACGGTCAGGATTAGATAGGACCCGGTCAGAGAGCCCTGGGTGCGAGGGAATAAAGTCCTCTTAAAGTTGAGGACAGGAATGTAAAGGGTCAGGAGTAGTGGAGGGAGTAGGCAGAAGGGTCATGGGGTTTAAGCAGGGGAAAGTGGATAAAGAAATCTGGGGATTTTTGACAAAAAGGAGGTGGTACAGTTGGATTCTGGAAGGAGTCAAATGCGCGAGGGATTTGTGGCTGAGCAGGGCCCCCAAGCGATGGGAGGAAAAGACAGTGAGGGGTTGGCCCAAAGTAAGCTTGAGAGCTTCCTTGGTCAGGGAGGCAGCAGCTGCTAACACCCTGAGACATGACTGCCATCCCTGGACCGTGACATCTAGCTGTTTTGATAGGTATGCCACTGCCCGATAGGCCGGTCCTGCAGGCTGGGCCAGGAGGCCGGTAGCCAAGCCAGAACGCTCATCTGTAAATAAGTGAAAGGGCTTTGAAGGATCTGGGAGAGCCAGAGTGGGTCCTGCCGTGAGACAATCCCGTAGCCTAGAGAAAAGGTGTTTAACAGCGGTGGGGTCAGTTAATGGTCCGTGTGGGGTGTCCTTAGCTACCTTGTATAGGGTCACACTAGGAGGGTGAAGTTGGGAATCCACTGTTGGAAGAAACCCACAAGGCCCAGAAAGGAGAGGATGTCGTCGGCACTCTGGGGAGGTTGGAGATCCCAGAGGAGGCGGATACGGTCCCCTGTAAGAGACTTGGAAGTGGGGGTTAGGGACATGCCTAGGTAAGTAACTGTGGGGGTGCAAAGTTGAGCCTTGGAAGGAGTGATCCGATAACCCCTAGACCCAAGGAAATTGAGAAGGGTTGCAGTATCCACTTGGGAAGAGGATAATGAGGGGCTGCAATGAAGGAGGCCATCCACATATTGGAGGAGGGTGCTGTACCTTAGAGTGCAAAGGTTGAGATCTTTGGCTAAAGCCAGGCCTAAAAGACGGGGACTATCTCTAAAGCCTTGTGGCAAAACAGTCCGGGTAAGTTGTTGTGAAGTATGTGTGTCAGGTCCTCCCAAGTGAAGGCAAAAGGAAGTAAGAGTCTGGATGGAGGGGGACGGAGAAGAAAGCATCTTTGAGGTTCAAAAGGGAGAAGTGGGAGGTGGTAGGGGGGATGTTGGAGAGCAGGGTATACGGGTTGGAGACGACTGGATGGAGTGGGACTACGGCATCATTAATAAGTCTTAAATCCTGCGCTAGGCGGTAGGCTCTGGTGGGCTTTTTTATGGGGAGGATGGGGGTGCTGCAGGGGGAGCTGATGGGTATAAGGAGTCCCTGCCGGTGGAGCCGATCTGTGATGGGTCTGAGTCCTTGTCGGCAGGTTTCTGAAATGGGGAATTGAGGACAGGAAGGAAAGGGGGTTTGGTCTTTTAATTGTATCTTTACTGGGGAAAGGTGAGAAGTTACTATTGGCTTAGAAGTATCCCAAACCTGGGGGTCCACCGACAATGGGAAGTGGGGCGGCTGGGAAAGGTCAGGTGGAACTAGGGCCCAAATCAGGTGGGTGGAAACAGTGGGTGAGGGGGAAAGATGAATGGTGGCCTGGAGCTTGTGAAGGGTATCCCGGCTGAGGAGGGGGATGGGGCAGGAGGGGATTATTAGGAAAGAATGAGAGAAGGGAAACCCATCCAGGCTACAGGAAAGGGGTGGGGTGGTCCATGGATTAGAAGAGGTGCCGTCAATTCCCATGACCACCACTGGGGAGGGGAAGCTGGTGCCCAAGTAGGAAGGCAAACAGAGTAGGTAGCCCCCGTGCCCAACAGGAAGGAAATGGACTCACCCGCTACCTGGAGCACGACCCTGGGCTCGGCGTGGGTGAGAGGAGATTCCGAGTCTGGGCCCCGTCAGTCGTCATCCAGGCCAAGGAGCTGGAAGGCGGGACTTATTGGCTCAGAGTTTCCTCTGCATGGAGGCAGTAGGGACCCTCCGATGCCGGAGTAGTCAGACCTCCAGAGGCCCCTCCTCTGACAGTGAGGACACGGGCATGTTGGTACCCTGGGATTTGGACATTGGCGGGCCCAGTGTCCGTCAGTGCCACACTTGAAGCAGACCCCCGGGGGGTGCGCTGGGTTACCCCTTTCCATGGGCTCCTGGAGCCAGCCGGCCGCAGGGCTGCTACCAAGGCTTGGGCTTGGAGTTGGACCTTCTGCTGGACCCAGGCTTGACGTTTAAGTTCGGCCGTTTCCTCCCGGGCATTAAAAACTTTAAATGTCATTCTCACCAGGTTGGGAATGGGAGTTGGAGGGCCCTGCTCAGCCTTTTAAAATTTTTTGAGAATATCAGGGGCTGACTGGGAGATGAAATGCGTGGCAGGACAGTAGCTCCTGCTGGGTGGAGGGGTGTCGGCGGGTATACTGGAGTAGGACCTCAGTGAGTCTATTAAGACAAACAGTGGGATTTGTGTCTGGACTTTGGGTGATTTCCCGCAGTTGGTCATAATTGACAGCCTTATTAGCAGCCGCCCGCATGCCGGTGATGAGGCACTGAACCATGCGGTGGCGGCGTCGGTGGCCGTCCTGACCGTTCTGATAGTCCCCCCAGGGTCTGCGGCAGGAACTGCCTGAGCCCCTATTGGCATGGTTGGATCAGTTAAATGGACCTGAGCTGCATGTTCTCGGGCAGCAGCCTGGATGTGTTCCCTTTCCTCTGCTGTGAGGGTTGTAGTCTGGACAACATGGAAGTCATGTGCTTGGGCTAAATATCGGAGCTCTTTGGTATTGTTTCCCAGGCTGGCAGAGTCGGAACCCCGCCGCTTTTCAATTTGGGAGGGGTCCTGGAGCGAAAAGGGAGCATGAACTCACCCACTCCCTCGGCGCCAGCCACCTCCCTTAAGGGGCAGACCAGGTCGGGGGGAGGTGGGATTACTCAGGACTGTGTCCAGGCAGAAATGGGAGGTGAGCCGGGGGTGAGGGTGCCGGGGGTGAGGGTGATGGGGGTGAAGGTGCCGGGTCAGCATGAGGCACCGGGGCAGGTGCTGGAGGAGCAGGGCAAGGGGGAGAAGAGGCTCTGGATAGGGAGGGGAGTCGCCCCCGAGCCGGCGGGCTGGCCAGGTTTTCAGGGGGTTCGGACAGAGGAGAAGGGGGGAAGGATTCAGGAGTTTTAGGGGCAGATGGAGCTGGCGAGGTCCGAGCGAGGACGACTTGGGAAATGGAGCAGCGGGTGCGGAGGGAGGGGCGAGGGCGCAGGTCCCAAGAAGCCTGTCCGTCAGGGACCTTGGACCATCTGCCTTGGCATCTGCAAAAGTTGTCCAAATCTGTGAGGACCTGATAGTCAAAGGTGCCCTCGAGGGGCCATCAAGACTGACTGTCCATTGGTATTGGGGCCAGGCCACCGAACGGTGGTGGGTAAGGCGGCCCCTTCTCAGGTCTCGTGAGAGCCCCAAAGCCTCCGATCGGCCGGCAGGCAGCCCAGGCGGGGTTTGGGTCGGATTCGGCCTGGGCAGCTCCCACGATTCCTGCCGGGCAGGCCGGGGATTCAAACAGGCGTCCCCGTCTGGAGTCCCGGGCTGGGGTCGGATTAAAAGAGGCTGCCGTGAGGGTGGGGGCGTCTCCCGATCCTCAGGTGCCGAAGAGAGTCACCTGGTGACTCGGTGGAGTCGCCCTGACGTGGCCGCGGTTTTAGGCAGGAGCACCCGGATCGGGGCGCGGAATCGGGTGAATGTGCCCGGTGTCTCGAGGCGCGGGGCTCAGATGAGGTCCTGGTAACGAGAGGACGGGGGCTCCCACCCGAGCGGGGCCGCAGCCTCCCCGGGCTTCGGCACCAGGTGTCCGGTTCAGATCGGCGGTGGTGAAGGAGGAGCCCGGCAGTGGGTCCGAGGCGGGCTTTAATGGGGGCCTCCCGGGCGAGGTTCTGCGCCCACAAGGGAGTGAGGCCGGGGAAGGCGCGCCCAGGGTGGACACAGGCAGGTATTTATGGGGAGGCTGCTGGTGGCTTTTGCCCACACATGGTGCGGAATTGAGCGGGGCTCGGTTTCCGGTTCCCGACAGGGGCCGACGTGGATCCGGGACAGGTACGGGGGTGGAGCTCACACGCGGGAGGCTCTGTCGCTGCTCTGTTGCCGCGTTCCGGTCCTCCTGACCCCGCTGGCCCAGCAGGTGGGGACTGAAGAGCTGGGCCTGCCCGACTCAGCCTCGCAGGCCTGGCCTCCTCATGAGAGAGGCGTCCCCTGGGGCCTGCTGCCTCAGCCGGGTGTACGTGGCCGTGCGTGCCTGCCGCGTGCGACCGCGGGCTGGAAGTGCACAGGCACCCGGCCAGGAGTCTGCCCCTGGCTGCTTTGTCTTCTCTGTGGTTTCCTGGAGCTCCCAGCTCCACTGGCATCACCAGTGAAGGGAACGTGGCTGGAGGCAGAGGGACGCCTTTGCTGGTTCTGAGCATCTCTGCTCAGTGTCCCAGCTCTGTCCTTGATGGCTGGGCCGGGCCTGAGCGGGAGGGCAGGCTTGCCAGAGGCCGAGGGGTGCCGGCGCCCAGCATGGGCCAGCCTCACTGAGGCTGCTGCAGGACCCCGGCCTGAGGCTGGCCACCCTGCAGACAGTGGCTTCTGTGCACCTCGGCTGCCCGGCCTCTGAGGACCCTCCCTGATGTGCTACCAGGACATTCAGACCAGGCTTGAACAGAGAAGGGGGCTGTTAGACCCCTCATCCTGTGGGCCCCCACAAGGCCTGTGCACCTCATGAGCCAGACTTGACCGCCCTCCCCTCCACTCCCCCAGCAGGCTGCCCTCTTGTGATACAAAACGCTGTGTGACGGTGTGCTCTGTGTCCCTTAGCTTGTGAAATCCTGCACAGAAGGGTGAGCTCTGTCTCTCACCAGCGCTTAGCAGCAGCAGCGCCTGCTGGTTGAATGAATGGCTCAGGGGTGAACAAACGGACGCCCTTTCTTGGCCTAGAGGGAGGCAGAGTGTCTGAGGCTGAGGGCGTCTCCCCGCCGGGGACAGTAAAGTGTACAGTAAGCCCCTTCTCTGGAAAGCCTCACCTCTGCCAATTCTTGCACTTGATGCTTGCAGGGTTCCCTCTCTTTGGCGGAGCAGCCTCACCCCACTGTCCAGCTTGTGGGTGGCCGGCAGTCCCGTCTCTGTGGCCTCTCCTCCAGGACCCGAGCCCCTTGGCACAGGCAGGGGGCCTTTGTGACGTGTGTGGAGGGCCCTGGGGCTTTGTGGCTAGGAGCATTGGGTCGTTTCAGCTACTGTATGTTCCACGGAACCTGCTGGGATGTTCCAACCTGGACTGGGGGAGGCACAGCTTTCCTGTTGCATCTCACACCTGCAGATGAGCACAGCCTCCTCCAGGCGCCAGTCATCTGGGCATTGTCAGGTCTGGCTGGGGTCAGTGGGCACCGCGCCTCTGACACTGTCCTCATGGCTTTTCGGGGGAAGCTGCTCAGCCTTCTTGTTGTCAACCCTGCTTGCCTTGGGAATCTGGTGATTTTCTGGCTGGCTTTGGAGGCCAGGCCTGCTGTGAGTGAGTTGCTCCCAGGAGTTGCTGCATGTTTTCAGGCCATAGACGGGGGAGTCCCCTACCCAGACCTTCTGTCTGTTTCCATGGTGCCCAGGAGGGCTGTGGAGCTAGCATCTGTGAGGGTCTGGGGTCTGGGCTGCTGTTGACCCGCCCCCTTCTGAGGCCATTTGGACCCATGCAGCACAGCCTTTGGTGGACGGCTGCAGGTGAAAGGAGATTCCAGATGCGTTGGGATGGGAGGAGGTGTGTGGCTCCCTCTTCCATCATCTGTTTTATCAGGACCTGTGTCTGCTTAAGGTCTTGTGTCCCCTCAGAGGCCCTGGTTCAGAGGCCCAGGATGGCTGGGCTGGGCTCTGCCCGGTGACTGGAATCTCAGGGGCTTACCCTTTGCTCTTCCTCGTGGTCTTGTTCTCCGGGGGCTCTGCCCTGGTCACTCCTGTATGAAGTAATGAGCTGATTTAGCTCTGTGCTTTGGGGGACAAGTGGCCTTGTCCTGACATCTGGGATTCTTGGTTCAGCAAGTGGCTGAGCGTGGCTGTGTCTCCTGCTGTCTGTGGCCTCGCACAGTTTCTAGGGCAACCACTTTTTCTTGTTCTGACTCCCTCCTTCTGCCTGGGTTGGGTTTGCAGTGTCTGTGTGCCTTGAATTCCTGGTACAGCCCTTCATTCCTGAGGCCACTGAACATCAGCAGGGCTATCGGAGGGACTTGTGAGCTGAGGCAGACCCCACCTCACTGCTGCTGTGCCCACAGCGGTCTCTGTGCAACTTGCTGACACAGCCAGGGTCCATTACCGAGGCCCCTAGCAAGTGCCTGTTCCTCTTGGGAGCCTTGTAGTGGACACACGTGGGATGCTCGGGTGGTAGAGTTCTCTGTTTAGTGGGGCAGACACAGGACAAAAAGTTAAAATCAAACTTTGATTTTATGGTGCTTTGGGGGTTTTGAGTAGGGCATCAGGGTAGTCCTTGTAGAAAGGGACATTCTGACAGGGAGGCTGAGGGACCCCACCTGAGCGACCAGCTGTGGAGCAATTAGGTAGAAACACCAGCTGGAGGCTGTAGCCCAGCTTCTCTTTGGAAGGGATGGGAGTCCTTTATCTCATAGCCCCAGGCCTGTCTCTGGGAGAAGCGATCCTGTGACCCCAGAACTCCTGAGCCAGTTCAGGAGCTCACCTGTGTGTCCCATAGACCCTGCACTCAGCGCCTTTCCAGCTGGAACGGGTACCTCCCTGGGTCCCTCTCCATCCGTCATTCCTGTCCTGGGCTGAGATTTCAGAGCACACGGGCCACAGACCAGGCCTGGAAGGCTCAGCCCTGGAGAGGCCCTGAGGCCTGGTGTCCTCCAGTCTGGGCTGGAGCCAGGGTGGGAGGAAGCCTTGAGCTAATTTCCTCTTCTCCGGCTTCTCCTAGACTTTGCAGAGTTTGTTTTCCTGGGTCTCTTCCTCACAGAGATGTCCCTGAAGATGTATGGCCTGGGGCCCAGAAGCTACTTCCGATCTTCCTTTAACTGCTTCGACTTTGGGGTGAGTGAGACGCCTCATCAGGGATGTGGGCCGGGGTCCAGGTGGGTCTGAGCTGCATCCCTCCCTATGAATGCACACAGCGCCCTCCCATACGTGTGCCCAGGATGGGCTGGGGTCTGTAATCTCGTGTGGGTGATAAAGGCTGCCAACAGACAGGAAGGTGCAGGGAGTCGGCGAGGGAGGCCTGCAGTGCCAGGCCTGACTGATGGGGGTGCCAGCTGCAGCTGCTCCTGCCTGCAGAGCGTCGTCCTTCCTCCACTGACCCTGTCTGTAGACCCAGGATCAGCTGGAGGCCCTGCAGCTCCCTCCACGCTCAGGATCTTGCTAACCAGTGCGGGGCTCAGTCTCTCCCCAGCAGAGCTCGGGGCTGTGGTCCTGATCCCCCGTCATCTTCTGGATCGGGCTCTGGGCAGGCGTGGCATGTGCTCCTGTGATTCAGCAGGAGGAATGACAGGCCGTGACCGTCTTGCCCTCCTCGTGGGGATGGGCAGTAGTGGGACTGGCGTGGGTCTTTTCACCAGCCTTGGTAGGTCAGTGAAGCCTCTAAGGCAGGACGTTTCTGTGCCTAGTGGTGTGAGTCCAGACCAGAGTGCAGGGCAGGAGCAGCATAAGAGTCACCTCACCCAGGCCCAGCAGAGTGCACAGGACACTTCTCTGGTGCTGAGTCCAGAGCCCTGGGACGTGGCACTGTTGGCACCTGCTGAGAGGCTGAGCTCTGACCTGCTGGAGGCTCTGAGTGACAACTGGAAGTGCCACAGCCCTGAGGAAGGACTTGGAGCTCTGTAGAGTCTGCAGCCACCAGGGAGGGGACCTGGAACTAGGCAGAAGTGAAACTTTAGCTCAACAACTCAGCTTCACTTGAATTCTTTCTCTCAGCAGCTCTGCACTTCTGCAGTTGGCAGAACATTGTGCCCATGACCTTGTTAATCCTCACAACGACCCTCACTTTACAGACAGGTGACTGGAGACATGTGACTGGCCCAAGGCTGCTCAGCCGGTCTTGGGCAGTCAGTGCTTGGGCCCAGCTTTCTGACCTCAGGGCAGTGGTTTCACACCAGACGGTGCTGCCTCGTCTCTGAGGAAGGGAAGACGGAGGCTGCCCAGGGTGCTCTGTGGGACATGCACACCTGTGATTTTCATAGGTGGCTGGGAAGGGACAAACGCTTCTTATCCTTTGCCTTCTTGGTCACAAAGAAAGGCTGGAGTGTGTACAGGCAGAGGGAACCCGAGAGGCGAGGAGATGTCAGAGATACTTTGATCTTTTAAATGTATTTCAATCTTCTTAGCTGAACTAACTGGATCCCAGGACATGGGGATAATTTGCACATAAGCTAACACATTATTCTAAAACTTAGCAGCTTAAAACCACAAAAAATTTATCTCACATTCCTATGGGTGGGGAATCCAGGCATGGCTTACTGGGTGCCTCCTGCCTAGGGTCCCTCATGAGGTTTCAGTCCACTGGGAGGCCAGGGATGCAGCCATTCCCAGTCTTGATTGGCACTGGGAAACTTGCTGTCACGCTCACTCACGTGGCTGCTGGCAGGCTTTGGCTCTGCTCATGTGGCCTCTCCATAGGCTGCCCAAATGTCCTCACAGCATGGCAGCTTGTGGTCTGAGAGAGAGAAGTGGCAGTACTCAAGACGGAAGCTACAGAAACCCAGTCTGAAGAGGGATCCCATAAGTTCTGCCACTTTTTGTTGGGAGTGAGTCACTAGGCACAGCCCACACTTCAGAGGGTGTGAATACCGGGAGGTGAGGGTCATTGGGGTCCTTCTCAGAAGCTGTCTGCCACAGACTGTTCTCTGGCCCCCAATGACTCATATTCCTTCCAGTGTAAAATATACCCAGCCCTCCCAATTCTCCGAAGTCTCATCCCATTACAGCATCAGCTCAAAGTCCAGAATCTCATCATTAGTCAGGTCTAGGTGTGGCTGAGGCTCCTTGGTTGTAGTTCCTTAAGTACAGTTCCTGAAGTGTCTTTCAATCTGCTGATCTGTGAAACTAGAGACAATTTATGTACCCCCCACATCCAGGGTACGATGGTGGGATAGGCATAGGATAACTGCTGTAGACATTACTGTTCACAAGGGGGACAGCAGGAAGCACATGAGAGTCACTGGTCCATAGCAATTCTGAAATCCAGCTGGGCAAATGTTGGAAATTCTGTGATTAGTTTTTATGGCCTGGGAAGCCCTCTGGGCGCTTGGTTCTGCTCTGAGAGCACTGGTCCATAGCAATTCTGAAATCCAGCTGGGCAAATGTTGGAAATTCTGTGATTAGTTTGTATGGCCTGGGAAGCCCTCTGGGCGCTTGGTTCTGCTCTGAGAGACCTTTCCTTTTTCATGAAGGGTAGTGCATGTTTTCAGGTGAACAGTTTTCTCAGCCTGCTTCCTACTAGTAGAATTATTTTTGTTTTGTGCTGTCTTGGTCCCTTTCAGTCCAAGCTGGTGATGTCTCTGCATGTATAAGTCTTTTACGAACTGTATGGATAAGTTACGAACCTTCCTGTGGTTTACTTCAGCAGACAAAACTCTTACAGATGAGCCCTTCTCTGCTTGTGTTCCTGTTGAGATGACTGCACATCAGGGTCTGCAGGAAAGTGAGGAGAATCCTACAGGAAACTAAAGGAAGGGGGTCCTGTTGCATATTGGCAGAAAGTTTAGCCACATCGCTGCCTGCAGTTATGTGAAAACTAGAAAACGTGCTCAGGGAACTGGGAGATCTACCTCAGGAGACCTCCAGGCTGAGTGCTGAAGGGGCTACCTGGTATCTCTAGTGTCCTGGAGGACTCACTGCTTCCTTGGCTTGATTTATTAGACCTGAAAGTGTGACTGAATCGTTCTCTGAGGCACCACCTTTGATCTTTTTGGGATCTCAAGTAGAGGTCACAGCCTTGCCCTTGGCTTCACCTTTAGACCATGCCATTTCTTAATGTTGGCATCTTTTGTTATCTGGAGAGGCTGCGCATTTTCAAAACTAGCAAGTCCTGGTTTCTTTTTGTTTAATGACTCTTTCCTCAGTTTAGCTCTGTCCTCTCACATTTGACTATACGTAGCAAGTGAGAAAACATCTGGATGATCTGCTAGTGCTGAGAAAAATTGGCAGTGATGGTCAAGGGCCAACATGGTCACCAAGGACAGATTTGGGCAAGCTCTCCGTTTGTTGTATTGGTAGGGCTATCACACGTGCTGTGGATATGGGTGTGTTTGAATGTCGGCAGGACATCCGATCTTCTCCGAACGACGTATTTGTGGACACGGTAGAGAAACGTGCAGCAGGTGACTGTGCGTTGGAGCTGGCTCATAAACAGTGCGCTACCTGTACCCAGACACGCTGTTCACAGATCAGTGCTAACCTGTGGGGAGGTCCCTGGGGATGCACCCCAGGGCTCTGTCCTGGCATGCTCACTGTTCTCTCAGTGACTTGGTGAGAACATTGGTGTTAAGCTGATCAGGTTTGTAGTTGATGTGAAATTGGTGGAAATGACTGAAACCTTGGAAAATATATGAGCTAAGTACAATAGAATGGAATTTAAGAGGTTTAATTTGAGTTTTCCACACCAATTGCAGAAGTGTAGGCTAGAGGAAGTGAGAGTCACACACATGGAGAGGACACAGGTACTCACACTGACCTTGAGCCCAGAGTGCCCCTTGAGGTGTGGTGGCCTGGGAGGGAATTCAGCCTGGGCCCCTGCAGTGTCCTGTGCAGAGGAGAGGTAGTGAGTGTTCTGCTGTGCTGCAGCCCCACTGCTCAGTCCTTTCTGAGTCCCTTGCACCAGGCATGGACCAGGATGGCCCTTCTCATAGTTCATCTGAGGAGCATCTGGAAGGAGGGCCTGGCCCTGCTCACAAGTCCCAGTCCAGCAACACCTACAGAGCCTGAGATAACCCTGTCAGTAAAGCAAATGGCCAGGCTTGCCACAGTCTGTCCTCCATGGCCTGTGCTGGCTCTTGGTCATCAGGAGAAGAAAAGACTCAAGATGTAATTTACTAATGTGAATATCTTGGAGCAGTGGCAGCATGGACAGGTGTCAGGACCCTTGGGACTTAGCAGCCTTGTGTTGCCTTATCTGGCATAAGCTACGGGCGGGGAGGCAGGGCAGGTGCTTGCAGAGAGGTGAGCCTGCAGATGCACATGAGCGGAACAAGCGCACACATCCATCAACGTGCGCGTGCACACACACACGGGTACGGATGCACGCCCTGAGGCTGACGCCATCCCTGTTGCAGGTCATTGTGGGGAGCATCTTTGAAGTGGTTTGGGCTGCCATCAAGCCAGGAACCTCCTTTGGGATCAGCGTGCTGCGGGCCCTCCGCTTGCTGAGGATCTTCAAAGTCACGAAGTATGTCATCCACGCGCTTCTGGGTGAGGGGACCGCGGGGTGGAGGCAGCGTGCTGGACTGGCTGGCGTGGGGTGCTTGTCCCTGGGAAACTCTTTTTAATACAAAAGAAAGTTATGAAGAGCACGTGCTAGGGCACCAGCCCAGCAAGACTTCACCTCAGCCTTGTTGGGGCCACATCCATCCCCAGGGTCGCTCCTGAGGGCCCTCAGTGCTGCCAGCTTGCTTTCTAGTGCCCTTATTAGCTGTACCCGCAACGTCATGCCATGTCCTCTCAGAACCACCAGCTCCATTTTCCCAACCTTCAAAGGTGGCTTTGCCTAAGAGTTAATAGAGAAAATGGAAGTTACCAGAGAGGATGGTTTTCAAGTCTGTCTACCTACTCCGCAGCCCCAGCCCATCCTCCTCTCCCCGGAGCCCACCTCGCCCCTACATGGCTCCTACTCCCAGGCCTGCTTTCTCCACCCCCGTGCCTGAACCTGCCCTGTCTGCATCTCAGTGATGACAACAGTGACAAGACCACGTGTTTAGTCACGTCCCACTTGAATCTTGACTCTGGAAATTNGACAACAGTGACAAGACCACGTGTTTAGTCACGTCCCACTTGAATCTTGACTCTGGAAATTAGCTCCATTTTACCTGTGAGGAGCTGAGGCCCAGGGAGGTGAGGTGTGTGTGCAGCTGGTGAGAGGACAAGCTGGGCTGAAGCTCTCTGCACCGCCAGAGCTGCAGTGGCGGGAGGAGGGAAGCCCCGTTCCTCAGTCGCACGCCTGGTCCTACGTCACTGAGGCTCCTGTGCTCTGGGAAGGCGGGCCCCACGCTCCTCCACAGGGCTCTGTGCGCAGTGTCCCGGCAGCCTGGGTCATGGCAGCTGGGGACCCAAGGAGAAGAACTGTCCACACTGAGCCCTCTAGTGATGGAGACAACTTCTCAGAACCCCACTGATCTCCCCAGAGTAGACTGAAGTTCTGTTGGTCATTTCCAATCTGAGTCCAAACCCAAGACCTTTGAGGATACGAAGGTGTAAATGCAGGGGACGTGTGGGCAGCTCAGTCCAGCTTGGTCCACGAACATTTGCTGAGCCCGGTGTGTGGCGTGTCCTCAGGTCTCTGTGGCTCCCCCGTGACGTGCTGGTGAGAGGGGCTCCAGGAAGGGGCCGCAGGGGCTGCCTTCATGTCAGCCTCGGGCCTGGCGTCTCAGGGCTCTCGTTTCGCCCAGGTGCAGCTGCCCGTTGTCCTGAGGCAGGCGGGTCTAGACCCTTGCAGTCNAGCTGATCAGGTTTGTAGTTGATGTGAAATTGGTGGAAATGACTGAAACCTTGGAAAATATATGAGCTAAGTACAATAGAATGGGATTTAAGAGGTTTAATTTGAGTTTTCCACACCAATTGCAGAAGTGTAGGCTAGAGGAAGTGAGAGTCACACACATGGAGAGGACACAGGTACTCACACTGACCTTGAGCCCAGAGTGCCCCTTGAGGTGTGGTGGCCTGGGAGGGAATTCAGCCTGGGCCCCTGCAGTGTCCTGTGCAGAGGAGAGGTAGTGAGTATTCTGCTGTGCTGCAGCCCCACTGCTCAGTCCTTTCTGAGTCCCTTGCACCAGGCATGGACCAGGATGGCCCTTCTCATAGTTCATCTGAGGAGCATCTGGAAGGAGGGCCTGGCCCTGCTCACAAGTCCCAGTCCAGCAACACCTACAGAGCCTGAGATAACCCTGTCAGTAAAGCAAATGGCCAGGCTTGCCACAGTCTGTCCTCCATGGCCTGTGCTGGCTCTTGGTCATCAGGAGAAGAAAAGACTCAAGATGTAATTTACTAACGTGAATATCTTGGAGCAGTGGCAGCATGGACAGGTGTCAGGACCCTTGGGACTTAGCAGCCTTGTGTTGCCTTATCTGGCATAAGCTAACGGGCGGGGAAGCAGGGCAGGTGCTTGCAGAGAGGTGAGCCTGCAGATGCACATGAGCGGAACAAGCGCACACATCCATCAACGTGTGCGTGCACACACACACGGGTACGGATGCACGCCCTGAGGCTGATGCCATCCCTGTTGCAGGTCATTGTGGGGAGCATCTTTGAAGTGGTTTGGGCTGCCATCAAGCCAGGAACCTCCTTTGGGATCAGCGTGCTGCGGGCCCTCCGCTTGCTGAGGATCTTCAAAGTCACGAAGTATGTCATCCACGCGCTTCTGGGTGAGGGGACCGTGGGGTGGAGGCAGCGTGCTGGACTGGCTGGCGTGGGGTGCTTGTCCCTGGGAAACTCTTTTTAATACAAAAGAAAGTTATGAAGAGCACGTGCTAGGGCACCAGCCCAGCAAGACTTCACCTCAGCCTTGTTGGGGCCACATCCATCCCCAGGGTCGCTCCTGAGGGCCCTCAGTGCTGCCAGCTTGCTTTCTAGTGCCCTTATTAGCTGTACCCGCAACGTCATGCCATGTCCTCTCAGAACCACCAGCTCCATTTTCCCAACCTTCAAAGGTGGCTTTGCCTAAGAGTTAATAGAGAA